CGTCAGGGATCGGGGTAGCTAGGAAAGAGCAAAGTTAGTGTTTCTCAGGAGGCGGATACGTCAGGAACGCGTAATGTAGCGTTAGGACGGCGCAGAGCCTCGGTGGAGGACTGTGCTGTGGAGTGGTTTGGTTTGTAAGACTTTAGTCTTATTTTGCTTCCTGTTGCAGGGAAAACGCCACAATGGCCTCGGGTGGAGTAGCGAATGCTGCTCCTGCAGGAGGGGCGAATGATGTGAGCCTGGAGGAGCCAAAGAAGATGACAAGGGAAGACTGGAGGAAAAAGAAGGAGTTAGAAGAACAGAGAAAACTAGGAAATGCACCTGCTGAGGTGGATGAAGAAGGAAAGTAAGCTTTGGTGAAGTTGTGGTTATTCTAGAGTTGCTAAAGTTAAAAATGCCTTTTGTTCTGTTGTGATTTCAGAACAGTCACATGATTTTTACATGAGTTGTTGTAGAAGTAAATAGCTGAACTTTGTGGACGAATGGCTCTGCGAAAAGGGACATGATTTCCTTGGAGCTGACAACCCAGCTCGTAGTGTGGTGTAAGGCCTACAGCAGCTGTGACTTAGCCTTGAACTGCTGATAAGGAGCGAGCTCTGCCTGGCAGAGCTGGCTCTGACCGGCTCTGAGTCCGGTGTCTACAAGCTCCCTGGAATTCCTGAGAGCATCCTGGAATGTGGACAGGCACCTGCTTGCTCCAATCATAAGTTTGCCCTGGACACTTGGACAAGGGCAATAAACCAATCATGTATCCGCTGCGTTCGCGTACTCTGTGTGAATATCTATATATATCTTGTAAGCACTAAGAATAAAGGAGAACGACCATACTCATATTGAGACTCATTGTTACTCCAGGTCTGGATCCCACTCCAACATCACTTTGTGAATTTTCTTTTAACATTCCAGTCATCCTCAGAAAACAGATAATCTTAGTATTGAGATATTGGCAGTTCTGCTGAGGAGTCCCATCTCTGCAGCTGCTGACAAGTGGTATTTTAAAAGCGAGTGAAACAGTGCAGGGGAACTTTGCTGTGTACCTGATCTCTTGCTTCTACATGGTTTGTTGCTTCTGGGAAGAGAAGTGTTGCTATTTTTTGCTCGGTAGCATCATCCAGAATAAGGTCTTTGAGTTGAAGTCAGGAGTTTAGGTGAATTAGTGGCAACAAATTCTTAATGAAAGTTTGTGTTTAGGAATTTTATTAGTCATGCATTTTACTAATGTCATTACTTACTTATCACTCCTAAAGCACTGAACTTTTATGTGAGAGTTATTTGTTAGACTCAATTGCTGTAGGTTTTTGATTCCCCATGCCATGTGTTTATGACACGACATCTCTCTTGCAGAGATATCAATCCTCACATTCCTCAGTACATCTCCTCAGTGCCATGGTACATAGATCCTTCTAAAAGACCGACACTAAAGCATCAGAGACCTCAGCCAGAGAAGCAGAAACAGTATAGCTCCTCTGGAGACTGGTACAAACGAGGGGTTCAAGAGGTATGCAAAATGTTTTTGTCATAAAGATTTGGGTTGATTAGGTGAGGGAATAGTTCTGGTTACCATTTTCTTGAGGGAGAAGGTTGCTGGGAGGGCAAGTTGCAGTGTTTGGTGATAATGAGAATATGGATTTGGGTAGGGCATGCATACTTGAACCTTGTGGAAAAGATGAACTAGTTATTGGGAACTCTTCCCTGAATATTGGCATGAGTCTGTACAACACTGTTCTGTGCCCATTCCAGCATGCTGTGGCAACCAGGTATCGTAAAGGAGCCTGTGAGAACTGTGGTGCAATGACACACAAAAAGAAAGACTGCATGGAGGTAAACTTCCTTTTTGGCTATGTCTTAATGGTTTTGAAAGCTGGGTGAATTCTAATACTAGTGAAAAACAGCTGCTTATAGATAAAATAAAAACAACACTGGGCTTGGAAAAACTCTTTAAAAAGGTTATGAGTATTGAGAGGTGGCTTGGAAACATAAAGAAATTGTTACGCAAGGAAGAATAAAGGGAAAAACTAGTAACTATTCAATGTGTTGTTCATCATTCTGTTTGTAATAAGCTCTGCAATAATAGGTGAAAACATTTAGGTTTTCATGTTCTTTGGCTTTAACTTTAGACAGGCACAGCAGCACTTTAACTCAAGCGCTGCAGTGCTTGTCTTTCTGTTTCATGTCAGCTAGATGTCATGTAACCCCCTGAAACTCTGCTTTCTTGATTGATTTCTTGATTGCTTTAATTGTGAAAAATACAGGTACAAATCAATGGGATTTGGAGTGAGTTGAGGTACATTAAAATGCAGAACTACTTGCATTTATTCAAATTCACAGGCTTGCAGTGCTGAATTTAACTTTGGCTTTACAGGAGCTCCATTGATAATACTTTTAAAGGGATATGAAAGTGATATTTCATCATATGTCATAGTGTAATGGACCGATCCCACCATTCTTTTGCCTTTCAGAGACCCAGGAAAGTTGGAGCAAAGTACACAGGGATGAACATTGCACCAGATGAACATGTGCAACCTCAGCTGATGTTTGATTACGATGGGAAGAGAGATCGTTGGAATGGTTATAACCCAGAGGAGCACATGAAGATTGTAGAGGAGTACGCCAAGGTTGATTTGGTATGTACTCACTGGGGGAAGGTTTAGTGTTTGGCCTAGCTGGGCTGGTAGGAGGAACACTTGTAATGTGCACTGTTAGTATTAGACCTGGGGCTAAAAGGACATACTAAACCAAATGCATCTTTGTGCTACACAGGCCAAACGTACACTGAAAGCCCAGAAACTTCAGGAGGAGTTAGCATCAGGGAAGCTGGAGCAAGTGGTAAGTAAACTAAACCTAATTTATTTTTGTTTAGTCTTTTACTCTCTGTGTAGGGTCTGCTGTTGGGTTTTATGCCCTTCAGTAACTTGAAGACTTTCCTAGCGCCAGCACTTTTGGTGTCACATTCAGGAATTTGAAGCACCTTCTTTCAAATGGGAGTTGCTTTGTTTTCCTCTTGTGGTTACAAATTCTGTCTGATTGTTATTCTTGCTAAAATTAATTACATAGACTTTTGGGTCAGAAGAACTTGTTTTCCATGTAGTAATTTTTTTTCATACATTTGAAATGCTTTTTCTGTTTGTAAAGATTATTAAGGTCTGACTAATGTTGAGGTAATGACTATTATATGACTGCATTGCTTTAGTAATGCTTAGTATGAATTGGAATGGGAAGGTATTTTCATTATCTTAAACCAACTTGTTTCTTCAGTCGTTGCTGTGACTGTTTGCTGTGACTGTTTGCAGTGTCTGTGGTTGTTGGAAGGCTGAGCATATGTATTTCCCTCTGGCTTATAACTGCAGAGTTTGCATCTTCCCCTACTACAAGCTCCTCTTAGATCACAGACAATGCTTTTGATAAGCTGATAGAAAATTCTAATTTTGAAAGGCATTTCTGATTATATTCAAAGTTTATAATATACAGAAAAAACAGAGACTGCTGCTGGTCAGAAGTTAGGGTTTTTAATCAATATTATAAGAGGAAAAACACCAAGCCAAAGCCCACATAGAACTGTGCCCGTTTTTCAGGGGCTGTGCCATTGCTTGTTGTCACTAGGTGGCACAGTGAGTTCACACTCACACCCAGCCCAAGCTACAGGGCTGTGACCTTGCCGGGGGAAGGGATTCGTTCTCTTTGCATGTTTGTTTTCACCACAGGGCAAACACTGTTGGCTTCCATATACTTATTCCTTATAAAATAGAGCTGTAAGAAGAAAAGTATGTTTGAAACCTAAGAGCCATCTCTGATGGGAGAGGACAGAGCCTGATTTGTATAGTTGGTACTGCCCCATTTGCTGGTCAGCGTTCCAGGGCTCATGGTTGTTTTCATCTTTACTGCTGCAAGTATTTGCAAGTTAGAGGCTAAGCAGGTTAAAAAAATAAACTCTGACTATGTTTTTCCAGCTTAAATTATGCCTTGTGATTCATGCTCAGTATTCCTGTAAATCCTAGCTAAATCCTTGAATACGTATCTTAATTATGTGTATAAGCTTTCAGAGTTGAATCTTGGCTATATTTGCATGAGAGGAAATATTCTAGTCTAAACCATCAGTGTTCAAAAGCATAGCAAGCTCTAAATAACAGCAACAGTTCTAGAATTTGCTGTTCTTGCAAAGAACTGGATGGGGATGCAGTGAAAAGGTTTCCAATATGTGTCTGTGATAGAGACAATTAAGAGCTCTTTCCTAGAGTATTATGTATCAGTCTTTCTGCATTTTGTGCCACTGGTAAATTGCATTTTGCATCCAGCATCAAGTTCTGCTTTGATTGCCCTTTGTATCCCTGCCATCTTTCCTCTCTCCACTATCTTGTCTTCTCTGCTGATGTGCTTTTGTTTGCTGCAGAACTCCCCAAGACACCAGTGGGGAGAAGAGGAACCAAATTCACAGACAGTAAGATGATTTCCCACTGCATCACACCATGGGCAGGAGAAAGGACCTGTAGTCAGTGGGACAGTGAAACAAGGGTGGCATAAGGGTTTGAATGTTGTGTCCATGCCACTGGCTGCCTGTTCTTTTGGGCAGAGGTTGGATTTCATGGAGGGGTTATTGGTTTTAATTCCTATGTTTTGTCAAACCTTAGAGATGCAAGCACATAACTAGTTTTTAACATTGGTATATTTTGCCCTAGATAACTGTTTTCTTGGTATCATCACAGTTAGGTTTTGGTAACTATTTCCATATAAGGAAGTGGAAATCCTTTAACAAGAGTATTTCTGAAGTGTTGAGCATTAGATTAGCCTGACAGCACACTTAAGCCCAGGTAAACTGTGCTAGCTTGTTGCTACAGGGGTTGCAGAATTTTAATGACACTACTAAAATCAGATTCTTGTACTTGCCTCTAGAGTGAATGACTTAGACATTTCCCATCTCTCCTCAGGAAAGAGATCATAACAGTGAAGATGAAGATGAAGATAAATATGCAGATGACATTGATATGCCTGGGCAGAACTTTGACTCTAAAAGACGAATCACAGTTCGAAATTTACGTATTCGGGAAGATATTGCAAAAGTGAGTAAGGAATTCTCTACAGGTGTTCTTTTGTATCTGTGAGAGGTAATTTCTACCAATTGTATGTTCAGTAATTAATGACTGTGTATAGATCTTGGGGTTTGAAGGTTGAGGTCTGTTCTCAGTTCTGTACCTGCTCATGTCAGGACTTCATCAAGGTCATCATTTGACATGGATAGAACATCTTTAAATGTCTAAACTGGGGGGAAAAAGGAGTAACTTCAGTTCTTTTAAAATCATAAATATTAAATATCTTGTATGCTGTTCTCTTTCCCGAGTACTTGAGGAATCTAGATCCAAACTCTGCTTATTATGATCCCAAAACAAGAGCAATGAGGGAGAACCCATATGCCAACACAGGCAAGAATCCAGATGAGTAAGTGAAAAAATAGGGTCATGTTTAATAGTTTGTATTTGCTTTTACCTATATTTCCTGTTACTAATTGATCTCTAGTCAGTTATGTATAGAAGTAGTGGTAAACATGGAACAAAATGTGGTGTTGTTTATGAGCACCTTTTGTTTCTAGTGTATAAAAGTGGCATTTTTGTAATACTGACCCTTGATCTTCAGGGATACATGGACCCACTATTTAATGTAATGATCTGTGCAAGGACTAGAATAGTGCTGTATCTAGAGGTGATGCCTGTAAACAATAGTGATGTTTATGTAAAGTATTTCAGTAATCAAATCATAAACTTTATCCCTTGTTTGTTGGGAGGCATTCAGGACTAGAGACTAGCATGGAGTCTCTAGGCACCACAGACACATAGTGTCTGTGGTGCCTAACTAACTGTTTGAATTAGGAGCAAAATCTCCTCATATATTAATGGATTCTGCATAGAGAAGGTCTGAATACTTTGGCATTGCCTATTTAGACAGCTTAATTAAAGATGCCACAGATTGGCTTTTGGCTGCACATGCAGCTGTCTCACTTAAAACCCAAGTCAAGCACTTGACCTGTGTTGTGCTGTGAGCTTACAGAGCAGACAGGCTGTAAGTAAAATGTGTTCAGAGCACAGTAATTGGATTAGCTCTCTGCCTGAAATAGAGTGGCAGTGCCAAAATGATAGCAAATAATGCTCTTTCCACCTCTCCTTGCCCCAGCTAGGATAATGCCAGTCAATTAATTTTTTTAGATGCAGATGCTTTCACTCCTCTCTAGAGTTATAATTTGACCTTTGTTGAATCTGTGTTTCTGCCACAGCTTTGCAGACTCATTTTTTAGAGTGGCTATGGGGAGATGCAACAGTGGGAAGTTGAACTGTTAACATTATTTGATCTTTAATCTGTGTTTCATATACTCATCATGCATCTCTTCAAGGGCTGTGCAGAAGTGTCTCAGCTTTACTGAGAGCAGTAAGGCAATTCCCAGCCTTTAACTCAGCCAGATACACTGGGTCTGGGCTGGAGAAGAGTCACAAATCCAGAAGCTGAGAATCACTGTGCTAGAATATCATGTAGCATTTATGCATATTTATTGTGCAGTGAGATCCAAGTTTAACTTGTAGTGCTTGGCATCCCAAACAGAAGTTCAGTTCTGTGTCATGTCTCCCTGTAAACACAGGCTCCAGGTTTTCTGAAGTGGCTGTATAATATTTTGATGGCTCTCCAGGGAGGTTAGGTTTTCTTGTCATGTATCGAGTTGAATGCAGCTTCTTGTCCTTCTATTCTTAACTCTTAAAGCACAAAGAACATTTTTAGTTTGCTGTTGAAGTTCTGTGATTGTATTTGAAAGGAAATCACATGACAGATGCTAAGAATCATGTTGTTCTTTCCTTCAGAGTTGGTTATGCAGGTGACAACTTTGTTCGTTACACAGGAGATACCATTTCAATGGCACAGACTCAGTGTAAGTGGGGTTTGGGGTTTGGGTTTTTCTTAATGGCCTTAAGGTACTTCACAATGCTACTTTCTTGCAAAAGAGGAGTAAATCTCTTTAGATTGAGGCCTTCTTTCAAATTTCTTCAGAATTAAAGAATGTGATTTGAACATGTGTGTCAGTTTTAGAATAAATACTAAATGAAACCTCTTGTGTTCACAGTGTTTGCTTGGGAGGCTTATGACAAAGGCTCTGAAGTTCATCTTCAAGCAGACCCTACAAAATTAGAGCTCCTTTATAAATCCTTCAAAGTGAAGAAAGAAGATTTCAAAGCACAGCAGAAAGAAAGCATCCTAGAGAAGGTAATAGACATTTGGTTTTACTTAAAATTTCTGTTGAGTTTAAAGTCTTGAGTCTTGGGGATCTAGAAAGATAATTCTATGTGAAAGTGTATCAGTTGTTCTCAGCAGTTTGGACTTATGAAAATATTTGTATATCTAGACACACTAATTTTATTATTATGTATAGGAACCTATGAAGATCTGCTGGTGTTTCTTTGTATTATTGGGAGCTCTTCCCTTAACTGTCAGAATTGTCCACTGAAGAGATCTGAATGAATTTCAGACTCAGGTTTTGGGTGCAGTCATCTAGATAAATATTTATTTTGTATTTTGCAACTTACTTCTTGGACAACTGAAAAAGAATTAAGTAATCCATTTAGATTCTAACCGGACAGGAAGTCCTGCTCTTGTTGTACCAGAGCCTTTTGGCTTGGTCTGAAAAGTTTTCCAGCTTTGAGTGAGGAATATCCCTTGTCGTTCTCCAGGCATGAAACAAAAACGAAAAACCCCAGCCATTCAAAACAAAACACCAAAGGGCACAACAATGGCCATAGGAGATGATGTATTTTTCTCTTAACTAATCATTGAAGATTAAACTGTCTCTATGCACTACTTTTGTGCTTCTCCACAAGGTACCAAAGGTGCCACTTTTGAAATGTTCGTCTAACTACATAAAAGGTGGGTTTTTTTGCAACTACTATGTGTCATTTCTGTTTGCATTTTAGTATGGAGGACAAGAACACTTAGATGCTCCACCAGCTGAACTGCTGTTAGCTCAAACAGAAGATTATGTGGAGTACTCTAGGCACGGAACAGTCATCAAAGGACAAGAGAAAGCTATTGCTTGTTCCAAGTACGAAGAGGATGTGAAGATCAACAACCATACAGTAAGTCCTGGGTTATGTAAAAGTTATGAAAACAATTAGATTCCTTCCCATTGGAGGCATGGTAGAATACTGTACAATAGCATTAATGCAGCAAATAAGCTGCTTCTGTCTCAAATATGACAGTCTCCCTTTTCTGCTAAGGAGGAGTTTCAAATTGTCGTGGTTATGATGTGAATTTGGGGGGTTGCCATGGCAATCAAAAATAAAAGGGAAGTATGTTTATTTCCCTTCCACTTTGCATCTGAGTTGACCACATCCTGTTGCTTTTATCTTTTTTGACAGTGTACCTGTAAAGCTAATGTAAAACAGGCGACGTATTTCTCTCATAACTTCCTTCTCGGCTGTTTGAATAATTTACTTACGCAATATAACCTCAGGAATTTCAGCCTGCCTCTCACAGGACTATTGTTCTGGACATAATGGGTCTGGTGTGTTCTCTTGCAGTGCATTTGGGGTTCATACTGGAAGGAAGGCAAGTGGGGTTACAAGTGCTGCCACTCGTTTATCAAGTACTCGTACTGTACAGGAGAGGCTGGGAAGGAAATTGCTGTAAGTATTGTCTTATTTAGGCATGTGGAAAGAGCTAAAAAGTATTCATCCTCCTTACTTAGGGTTTAGACTGTTTTGCTTTTTGGGAGGCAGTTGGTTTCTTGGGGGGTTCTGGGACTTTTTTGTCTTTCCCCTTTTCAAATCTGCTTAGTAACTGGGTATCCTTTCTCTTGTCTGGTGTATAGAATGCAGAAGCAAATTTACTGGAAGAGCAGCCTGGGGAGGAAGAACACCTGACAAAACCTAAAACACTGATGGAGGTAGGATGGTTCCCATTCTCAGGAAGGCAAATATTTTCCTTCAGCATTTTAAGAGATGGAAAGATATGTATAACTACAAAATTATGTAGTCTTAATGAGCCTGGAAATTACTGAGTTGCATTATTACATCATTCACATCTCTATCAAAAAACTTAGCTCTCAAATAACATCAATAGAAACTTGGGATTTAGTGGCTTGAGCATTACTAATGTTGGCAAGTTGAATCTTAACAGTAACTTGTTTCCCACCTTACAGATCCACCAAGAGAAACTGAAAGAGAAGAAAAAGAAGAAGCACAAGAAGAGCTCAAATTCAGACAGCGAGGGTGAAGAGAAGAAAAAGCAAGAAAAACTTAAAAAGGTGCACTATATTCTGCAGTGGCTTTGTGGCAAAAAGAACTTGACATGTATTTTACAACATCAATTTTACAAGCATATAATGTTCTTGTGTTACATCATGGGATGTTCTTTGCTAATTTTGAGCAAATGTAAAATGCTGTTAGATGCTCTAAAGTGCATTCCCTGTTTCTCAGGCAAACATTCAATAAATACTTAGTTTGGGAAGACTTGGTTTAGATGATTTAGAACACTTCATGTCTAGGCACCTATTACAGGTGTAGATCTATAAAAGACATTGCAGAACACAGTGATTTGTGTGTTGAGGAAAGATGGAGAGATTAAATGCACTGCCAAAGCTTAGTTTAGCACTTTTTATCCCAGGCTTGGGCCCAGTCTCACAGCTGATGCAGCAAATCCATGCACCAAGCTCTCCCCCAACTGCTGCTGAACAGCCCTCCATGGGTGCAGCAGCCTCTGGGTGTTCAGGGAGGAAACCAGTGGTAAATGGTGATTAATCAAAGCAGTGTACAAATGCAACTTCTTTTCCATAGCAAAGGGAAACAGTAGTAGTTTGAGGAATGAGATAAGACAAAGCAAACCCAAATATGCATACCTAAAAACAACAACAAACAATGCCAAACTCCTAAGATCACGTGCTTGCTTATCTGCTTTTGTAACTTGCTGCATTGTGGTTACATTTTAGGTAAATCCAAGGAGTTTCTGACTTGATTTTGACATTTGAAGAGAGATTAAAGTATCTTGTTTGCTAAATAAACTATGGTAAAGTATTATATTAAACACTAAAAAATGAGTATAAATGAAATGTGCTGTAGGTGAGCCAGACAGATGTGCATTGCTTATCCCACCCTTCTGCCTGCTGCTTGTCCGTCGTGTGGGAATCTAAGACAAAACTGTCATTGTTTTTTTGGCTTAACTTTGTGGGATTTTTGTTTTCCGTTGCTCTCATTTCAGGCACTAAATGCAGAAGAGGCTCGTCTGCTGCATGTTAAAGAAATCATGCAGTTAGATGAGAGGAAGAGACCATACAACAGCCAGTTTGAGGCCAGGGAGCCAACAGAGGAGGAGATGGAAGCCTACAGAATGAAACGGCAGAGACCTGATGATCCCATGGCCTCTTTCCTGGGACAGTAGTCATGGTGAAGATCATTCCAATACAAAAGACTTTTTTTCATACTTGTTCACAGCTCTCCAGACACTTACTTCCCTTGCATGTGTCTGAAGTGCCAGAAATGGCAGAGCTTTTTTTGCACCAAAGAAGTTTGTGAAAACTTCTTTCAGCAGACGTGAGCAGTTCAAATCTTGTATGTGTCTGTATACATACACAGTCACATATACACACAGATGTATAGAGTACATGTGTATGAATAAACAGACTGTAAATTTGAGAAAAGATGTGATACTAACTGGACTTCTGGGTTGATTTGGCTGATTAATACATGCATAAAGTCATGCTACAGTAAAGCTGACTGATCAAAAGGTCAGCAGGGGTCAACATAGAACCAAGAGTACTGAAAAAAGTTGATACAACTATTGAAGCTTCTTATTTGTAAATATATTGCCTGTCATATGGCTTTAAAAGAGGAAATAGTTTCTTGATCACATATTAGTATTTTGGAAATGTAAAAAGGGGTTGTTTTGTGCAGTTTGGGTTAATATAAAGGTCTTAAGTGCTGTCCAGCCTTTTAAGATGGTAGGATGAGCTGACTGTAGAGCTTGTAAGTTCTGCTTCCGTTTCTGCCTTCTATTTATGTTAATAAAAAATGTCATTTGCAAATATCTGAGTTCTTTGGGTTTGTTTGTGGACAGTGCCCTGTTACACACTGTGGCACCGAGTGTCAGGCTCTAACACCTTCTGGTAATGTGAAGCAGCATCTGCTTTGTGCTTGGCAATATTAGTCCCTTAGACTGGGAGTTTTCCCATTTCACTATTAAAAGTTGAAGAACTGAGTAAAAAACTGCACAGTGTGACTTTAGAGTTGGAAGGCTTTGGGAATTATTTCTGGTGTGGCTAAAACTGTCTTACTAAACAGAGCTTTTATAACCACATGGTTATAGTAATGGTAGGACAAGGAAGACTAATCCTAGCTTTTCTTCAGAAAACTAAGAACCTGATTACAGTTTCCACATTGTAAAGACTGAAGGGCAATGAAGTTCCTGGAAGAAAATGAAACAGCCTGGTAGATCTGTTATAGCTGTCATTTCCACTTGGACAGCTGGTTTCCTTTTTTTTGTTAGGTTTTCTCCAAACCTGCTTCTGCTTCCTCTTCAGTTTTGTTCCAGAAATACTAATTCTGAATGCAGACACATTTGTAAGACATATCTGACTGTGGACTTCTATTTTGTGAAACTTCTTAAATCCTCCTAGCTCTTGCAAAAAAAATATAACCAACTAGTGAGATCATAGATCTTGGGGTGGAATTGTTAATATAACCAAATACCAGGAAGACAAAACTTCAGAAATCAGTTTCTGCAGAAATTGCTTTTATGTTTTTACAAACATTTAGACGGGGGGAAAAATATTCGGGATACAGTTTTCCTTCTGCTGATCTAGTGGCTCATCTCCATTTCCACATCAGCTCATGTCTTGATCTTCCTAGGCTGTGGATAATTCTGAGGGAAAGCTGCTCTTTTCCATAAGTAATTACATACAGAAAATGTATTATGTGTGTGATTTCACAGCTGCTTTGAGGAGTATTTTAATGTAGCCAATGACAATTCTGCACTGACCTTCAAGGTAGTTTTGTGTTGTGTGATGTTCTCACTGGTGATCAAAATTTTGAGTATTTACTGCCAGACATCCTCTGGCACACAGTAAATGCAAACTGCCTGAATTAGCTGATTTGGGCTGTGAACTACTCTTTTTAAGACTGTCACACCTGAGGTGGTAGCAGGTGCCTCCTGCTGCAGAGACTGCAGCTCCTGCTGGCTTGGTCAGTGCCACTTTGTTTAGTTTGAGGGAGGAGATGTCAGAAGGATTTCCTGAGCTATTTACATACCTTTCTAAAAGCTGCAGTTAGGTCTAAAAGACTTGATGCTTTAAAAAGGAGGCAATTCTGAAATCACACAAGAAATAACACAAAGGAAGTTTCAAGTCTAGCCCTGTAAGCATGGAAATGTTAATACATCAAGTACCTACTGAATTTATGCAAAGTGAGTGATCATAGATTTAAATTCAGTCCCAAATTTAGAATGCCTAGAAGTCACAGACGAATCAAACCCCAAGCACTTGGGGCAGTAGCTGATCCTTGCCAGATCTTTAGTCTGAACTCTAAAGGAAAAGGGCTCCTGTTTCATAAGAGATTGTCAGATTCCTTTCTTTGATAGTTTGAGAAGACAATGTTATCCTGAGACTTGTTCTCAAACAGCTGGAACATTCATGTCATGGTTTAAAAAAGGCTCATGAATATATCTCCAGCTGGATTATTCCAGTCAAATGGATAAGCGTTTGTTGGAATAAGCAGCAGGAAACATGAAGCAATGCTGATACACGTAGGACCTTTCTGGAATACACAAACCTGTCTGGTTTTCATCCTGAGGATGAAATGACATCTCTCTGAGGGTACAGACCCTAGCTCTACCAGGGGAGGGTTAGGTTGGATATTAGGAAGAGATTTTTTACAGAGAGTGATCAGGCATTGGAATGTGCTGCCCAGGGAGGTGGTGGATTCACCATCCCTGGAGGTTTTCAGGCTGAGACTGGATGTGGCACTTAGTGCCATGGTCTAGTGACCACAGTAGGGTTGGACTCGATGATCTTGGAGGTCTCTTCCAACCTGGTTGATTCTATGACTCTTCCCTCTTTGTGAGTTTATTCTCAGTGCAGCATTCCAGGCATGGAACTATAAGATTATTTCTGGGATCATGGACTTTCCTGTACCTGCCCCTGTTACTATAGAGGCTGCTTCAAGAACAGGGAAGGAGTATGATCAGAACTTGAAAATAATATCTTTCTGCTGTTCACCTGCCCAGGAGTAATTATGCATTGGGCTGTCCACTGGACCTGTGTCTAAGACAATTTCAGTCCTGCTTTGAAGCAAATGTTTCTTGTTAATTATAAATCAGCAAGGGGATTTGTGTCAGAAAAAAAGTGACTAAAAGTATAAATATTTATTTTTAAAGTGTCAACAACCTTTATATGAACTGTGAAACAAATGGTTTAGATAGTAAAATACTATTTGAGGTGAGTTTTGTGATCATCTCAGAACCTGTGAAATGTAAAGGTTTGGCCCAAGGGTTTGTTATACTTCTATGACTAATCACCATGATTAGAAGCTAATCACCAGGTTTTTGCTGTTCTGTCTTCAAAATGGTCACATCAGGCCACATATTTATTGCCCCAGTTGAATTTTCTGGTATCTAAAATATCACAAGCCAATTTTTACAGGCCCGTTTGTAGAAGATTCAAGAATGACTTGTCTTTTTACCATATGTTGCAAAAACCCAATTGTAAGTTACTGACACTGTCAAAATTGTCCTGAGAAATGACCAACAGCTCAGTTCTCCAAACTGCCACCTGATTAAACCTTTCAAGGCAACAGCATTCCCAGTACCACAAGGTCTGATTTAGGAGATTTAGAGAAGTCCTAGAATGTGGAGCCCACCCCACCCTGGCATGCTCAGAACAGTAGTGGTGTAATGCTCCAGGGTCTCAGAACTGGAATTGTCTGCTCCTTGAATCCTGCCTGTGAATCTCAAGCAGGAACAGCTTGGCTTGTGTCAGGAATGCTTGTTCATTGATGCTGAAGGGGAGTCAGCTGGGCTGATTCCCCACAACAGCCACACACACATATCCCACATTGCTGAGGGATTTATGCATTCAAGGCTCCTTCTAGCTTAAGATCAGATGAGCTCATACAATTTATATTTCTGGCTAATCCAGGCATGGTGTAGTTGTTCTGCTTGTGGCAAGTGTGTAGTTTGCAGCTGTCCCTGCCTCCCTCCTTCTGCTCCTTCACCTGTCCTGGCTGCAGGAGACCATTTGTAGAGCTCTGTATCATAAGGGTGTAGGGGTAAGAGTTACATCTTCACAGTGTCTTCTTTAGCTGCCTCCAGCACTGCTAGGAGACCTCAGCAGGGGTTAACCACCCAAATCAGGTGTGTTTTGCAACCCTTGCCAGGTTAGTGGCTGTTGGTTACACACTGCTGCCCATACCCACAGTTTAGTCAGTCCTCGATGGTTTTGCGTGTCCTGAATACCTTGAAATAAAAGGTTTGATTTGGGGTAGAATTGGAACATTTTATTTGGCACAAAACCAAACTCTGCACTTTCAAGGTTTTTGTAGATAAACTGCAAAAGTGATTTCTCATATGACTTGAAGCAATTCTTGCTTAACTGCTTCATTTGTCAAACTGAAGATGTCTCTGATGGGCCAATGCCAGGAAGCAATTCCTGGCAGATCTCAGCTGGCAAAGTTCATGTCTCTGATGCTTCTACAGGTGTGAAATTTCAAGTTTCCAGTTCCAATCTCAAGAGAATTCCCTGCAAAACCCTTGACTGAAATAAGTTGATTAACTGGAGGATCTGACTTTCTCTGTAAGCAGCATCTGTTCCTCGGGAAGCTCAGCTAATGTTTCTGCCATGTGGCATTTTCCAGCGAGGGCTGAGCAGCCCCACGTATCCAACAGATGCAGAACCAAAACCAAGCTTAGAAGTACATGGAAGCAAACGACTCAGGGATGTGTCAGTCCCTCCCTGCCCTTCCTCTCGCACCAGCTGCTCTCCTTTTCCCCATGGCAGATCTCAGGCACCAGCACAGAGGAGACACTTAAGTCCACATTAAGGACATGGTAAGCAGCATGGTTTGTAGAATTGCTTCGGTGGTATTCCAAAGGTGTCTTGGGAGGTGATTTGGGAGGGTCAGTAGAACCTCTCCTAGCATACTAATGAAATTTGAGCTTGCATGTGTATTCTTGGGTCTTTTAGGCTTAAGAATTTCTGACCATAACCTGAACTGACCCCTGAAAATACACCCACAAAGCTTGCCTGGGGCACAGTTATCTAACCCGGGAAATCTGGTCTGGTCAATAGAGCAGGGAACTGGAAATAAACGGCTTGTTCTCTTTCCACTTTTGCCATTAACTTGCTGCATGAATATGCCTAAAGCTGTGTAGCCCCAAATCTGTTCATTGAG